ATATTCAACGATTTACCCAAAGTAGTGAGAAAAGCTAAAATCGTGGGAGCTTTCAAGCGTGCCCTGTTGGATTACTTGAAACAAATAAATTAATTAACATGGAAAGGAATGATAGGGGAAGTAGAGGGGAGAAGTGTAGGGAGTATGTTGGTGGAATGCGAAGTAATCGGGACCGTGGTCAATCGGGACCGTGGTCAATCGGGACCGTGGTCAATCGGGACCGTGGTCAATCGGGACCGTGGTCAATCGGGACCGTGGTCAATCGGGACCGTGGTCAATCGGGACCGTGGTCAATCGGGACCGTGGTCAATCGGGACCGTGGTCAATTACATGGTTTTTCAATCGGGACCGTGGTCAATCGGGACCGTGGTCAATATCAACGTGGTCCATCGGGACCGTGGCCAATCGAGAACCGTGGTAAATATCAACGTGGTCAATCGGGACTTTGGTCAATCGGGACTGTGGTCAATATCAACGTGGTCAATCGCAACGAGGTCAATCGCAACGTGGTCAATCTCAACGTGGTCAACCGGGACCGTGGTCAATATCAACGTGGTCAAACGGGACGCTCCCAACTAACTCGATCGACTGCGGAAACTCGCGCTCTACCGATGACATCAATAAAGGTTTTTCGATGCAGATCGTTGGAGAACCGGATAGTTTGTCAAACTTTTTCAACTTGAAGAACAGCGCATGAACATGCACCGATCGGCTGAGCGCAACGCTATTTACTCGCTTTTGTTTTAACGGTTACCGTTTAATTTTCGGCGAAAACCGTTCGAATCTCGAACAGTTAAGTTTTTATATTTATTATCAAGTTATTTCTCTTACATATAAAAGAATGGAAGATAAATTTTATTTATTTTATTATAATATAAATATTCTATTTCTATTCTAATTATATTTATTCTACTATTCGCATTTATTCTGTTATATTACATGGAAATGCATATATTGCAAGCGAATAGGAAAATTCAACGGCCAAACATATACGAGTAGCGAGCGTTTTCGTGATCGCTCCGTGCTGTTCTTATTGTTAGCCGATGATGCACGAACTTAGGCTACACGTACACGCTATGACGTAGCGGCTACATCTGTGTTAGTAAGTGTCATGATAAGTGGTGGGGGTTCCTATTTCCCACGATCTAGCAGTTCTTTGAACTTCAAAGTTGAACTTCTTTGCTTGCACTTCCGCAATTTCCGTGATTTCGTCTATCGCGTTTTCGTAACTGCTTAGCTTCCGCGTGGCTCGCTGCGTCAGCGCTTCGCGCGATCATGCATACGCCTCCCTCAATTTCGACTTATGAAGACGTGTATAAAAATTAATAATTAATAATAGTAATATAAAGTAATGATATTATAATAATTTATTTATAGCCTTTTTGGACTATAACAACTTTAATCATGTAAAAGCAATTCTATATAGCCATTATTGAAAATTATAATTAAAATAATTGTGTTTGGTCGGTAAAATAGATTGTCTGGATCTCTTTAACATTTTCCAATTCTTTTCGAAATATTTCTTTAATCATCATTTTCACTTCCTTCTTACATACTATCCCGTTTTCCATTTTTTTCACTGTTTTTATAAGTCAATTTATTTTTACATCAATATATAGGGTGAGGAAAAAGTATGGAAATCCTGAAAAATTTCGAAAAACATAAATTTTACAGAAAATTGTTTCGAATAAAAGTTGTAGGGTTTAAAAAGATCTATTTACTGATCTTATCAGTTTGGACGGCGTCGCCAAGATCAGGACAAGGTCACCTTGAATTTTTAAAATGGAAACCCCTATTTTTTATTACATATTCTTGTAGCGACCTTCTTGTCGAGACTTTTTCGAAACACTATAATAAAGTATTTTTTCATTAAGTATTTCTCGAGTTATTTATATCTTAATCTAACATATTTTATAAAAAATATCTCGTAAAATATTTAGTTTTCGATAATCTTACCATAATACGTTTACGTACAGAATAATGAGACAAATCAATCGGTATAAAAAAATAATTGTTTTTAAGAAAATTATTTACAATGTTTTTTAACAATCATTTGTTTTTTTTTACATTAATTGATTTGTCTCATTATTCTGTATGTAAAAGTATTACGGTAAGATTATCGAAAACTAAATATTTTACGAGATATTTTATTTTTTATATCAAAATATGTCAGATTAAGATATAAAATAACTTGAAAAATACTTAATAAAAAAATACTTTATTATAGTGTTTTGACAAGGGCTACAAGAATATGTAATAAAAAATAGGAATTTCCATTTAAAAAATTCAAAGTGACCATGTCCTGACCTTTGCGACGTCATCCAAACCCAAACTGATAAGATCAGTAAATAGATATTTTTAAACCCCACAACTTTTATTCAAAATAATTTTCTGTAAAACATATTTTTCGCAATTTTTCAGGGTTTCCATACTTTTTCCTCACCCTGTATAACCAATGATTCACTCGTGCCTGTTGCTTTGTTTCCACTACTTGGTATCAGAAGACAGATCCTTCTTCTTCAAATCTGCTTCTTTATCACATTCGATTAAAAATTTGTCAAATAGGCCACAGTATCAATTCGTGGTTTCTATCATAAACTTTATGCTTGCTTACACATTCTGTATAATAAAAAAAACTTAACACAAATCTTGCATGTCACTATCTGGCTTTTTATTGTCTTCTTACATGTATCGATATTTATCAGTATCGATATTCCTCGTATTAATCATCCATAGTCCATATCGACAATTATCGACCGAAATCGTTAACATCAGCTACTTTTATTTTCATTTCCACATGTCAGCACTTTCTCGTCCACTTTTAACGTTTATCTATCGAGACTTCAATGTCCCGTATAGAAAATGCCACTCACAAATCAACGGCTAAATAATACTCATGGCTAATTTTGGTTTATGCATGGTTTTAATAACTTTTTATCATTCTTCCTGATTATTTAACCACTTAAAAGTTAACACTTTTACGATGTTTAACACGTCTTCTCTATGACAGAGAGGGGGGGGGGGAGAATATAAGTTTATATAAAAATTGTAGAATGCTCCAAACTTTTCAGAGTTAGTATATATTTATATATACCCAGATAGAGCCAAGTCTACTAAGATTACATATTGCAAATTATACGCTATATATTATATCGGTTATGATATAAAGATAGTCGGTTATGATATAAAAACAGTAGATTTTAAGCATTGCGTGTTTGCACAATATATCAACAGAAACTAAATAAAAATTGAACATGACATCATGCTATATCGATAGAATATTGTTAAAAATCGGGTTCATTTGCAAACACGGCGTGACGGCAAAAATGGTGCAAAAATTAAGCATGCGTTGCCATTTCAAAAAGTAACAGCAAAAACACAGTAGGAACACAGTATAGTCTGTTATCATAAAATAATGACAGAATCACAGCAATATTAAAATATATCATATCGAATTATAGTTCTTTCATTTACCGCTATATGACATATCTATCTCGTATTTAAGTTTCTGTCATGGGCAAATATAAAAATTGTAAAGCGCGACTAACAAAATAAAAATTGTGTAGTATTTATGTCTATCAGCTTACCCAGATAACACAAGAAGGCCAAAAGACATCTTAAAGGTGTCTAAGGGACAATAAGATGTCTTTTAAAGCCATGTGGTTTGGGTTATTTCTGATACGATTCCAACAGAGAATTCAGAATATTCTAAACTGATTATTAGAATTGAATTATTTTATTAATTATTTAACTATGTATGCCAATCATTTATATTATATAGAATATAATTATACAATATAGCATGTGTGTTACATTGTATACATACTAAATTTATGATTGGAAAAATTACAAGAGTAACTGGCAATTTATCGATAACATTTATGCCATAATACCTGTACTATTTAATTTATGATAGTTCATGTTGCATTTTTGCTGTGTTTTTACTGTTATACCGTGACAGCACATCATGCTTGATTTTTACTGTTTTTCTGCCGTTGATTTCAGCTACAGCAGACTCTGCTCGATATTTCCTGCATATTTGCTGCCACATCATGACAGCAGATAATGATCAATTTTTGTTGCATTTTTGCTTTTATACTGTGCCAGCAGCTTATGCTGGTAGAAATTAAGCAATTGCAGACGCAGTATATAGGATTCTGCTGCAAAGTCATGGTTGGATTTGCCGTCATACTGCCAATATGCTGTTGACATTTTGCTATCTGAGTACATATAAGTGTAACTATGTATATAAAATATATAGGCTTCTGATCAATGAAAAATAAGGTAATTGTTTCGAGTAAGGCCTTTTCTGAATTTTGAGAAATATGGTCGGATCTCTCGGTAAAATTCTTTGTTGTGACCTCAACAGTGATAATCAGTCGGAGGAGCCCGACTCCCATCACCCCCACCCCCCAAAAAAACGAAAAACCCATAAAATTACCGAAAATTAGGTAATTATGTACTATAAAGTCCACTCCACAACCAAACTAAATTTTAGTTTTAAATCAGCAATAGGTTTGGGTTAGGTTATATCTTCCGGAAGTGAAGCCCCCCCTACGGGGGGGCGGAACCCACTGCGTCCGCGCATACACTTTTCCATCCACACAACAATTTTGGGGTGGACCTCGCTTTGCTTTGTAAAGTATATGCGTAGACATAGTGGATTCCGNNNNTTTGCTTTGTAAAGTATATGCGTGGACACAGTGGGTTCCGCCCCCCCCCCTACGGGGGGAAGCCCATTTCCAAAAGATATAACCTAACCCAAACCAAATTTTAGTTTTAAATCAGAAATAGGTAATTATTTAATTTTGGATAATTTTTGGGGTTTTTCGTATTTTAAGGGAAGGGGGTGATGGCGGTCGGGCTCCCCCGACTGATTATCACTGTTGGGGTCACAACAAAGAGTTTTACCGAGACATCCGATCATATTTCTCAAAATTTAGAAAAGGCCTTATTCGAAACAATTACCAAAAATAATTATTTATTTTGTAATATTGAAGGATATTCACCCACAATTATTGAAAAATCATGTTCAAAATCGTCTAAAAAAGTTTGAAAATGGGAAAGCTTTGGATTGGTCGACCGCTGAGGCATTAGCCATCGGTTCTCTATTATATCAAGGATATAATGTAAGACTAAGCGGACAAGATGTGGGTCGAGGAACTTTTTCACAAAGGCACGCGATGTTTGTTGATCAATCTACAGAAGGTATACCAAAAATTTTATATAATCTAACAAATGTCTATAATATTTTAAATTTTTCATAAATTTCTAGCTGTTTTTATCCCGTTGAACTCTATGGTTAATGATCAAACTGGCAAATTAGAAATAGCTAATAGCATCTTGTCCGAGGAAGCTGTACTAGGTTTCGAGTATGGTATAAGTATATCATCACCATTTATATTGCCTATTTGGGAAGCTCAATTTGGGGATTTCTTTAATGGAGCACAGATCATTATCGATACATATATAACGAACGGAGAAGCAAAATGGATGTTGAGCAGTGGCTTAACAATGCTATTACCACATGGATATGATGGTGCTGGTCCAGAACATAGCTCATGTAGGCTCGAAAGATTTTTACAATTAACTGATAGTAAAGACGATGAAATCGACAGCGATGATATTAATATACAGATTGCAAATCCCTCTGAACCAGCACAATATTTCCATTTATTGAGAAGGCAGGTAAGATAATAAAATGCATTATATACTATAAAAACAAATTCTAAACATTTGTGTTGTAATGAATTGCGAACACTTAAATTTAAAGATTTCATGGGTTTATAGATGATAAGAAATTATCGGAAACCTTTGGTCGTGGTAGCACCTAAGATTTTGTTGCGTCATCCAGCAGCGGTATCATCGTTCTCCGATTTTATGCCTAGGACGAGTTTTAAAACTATTATCGGTATGTTGTAAACTTTCCTAATCCTGCTTTAAAAAAATATAATTAATAACAAAATTTTAATTTTTATATTTAATTCATAAAAAATAGTAGAAATGCAAAAACTCAATTAGTAAAAATATTGATAAAAGTATAAGCGACCAAAATACATATACATGCATTAGGAACACATTTGGAACACATTGCTCACATCATAAAAATATAAAAATATGTTGAAGGTTCGAAAATGTTTATTTCTTAAATTTGTTCTAAAAAAATGTATTCTTTTTTTTAGAGAGTATGTCTAAAATAGACAAAAGCGTTAAACACACAGTTTGATGAAACTTGGCAGAATAATTCGTTTTGGCTTTAAAATCGTGTTGAAAAAAGAATTTTCATTGGCACTTGTTCTCATCATCCCATTATCCTCGTTCTCATCATTCGGATCAAATGCATCATCGGGGAAGATATCAACTTCATATTCAACTCTTCCAATTGTTCTTCCAGTTCTTCTTCGGTGAACTCTTGATCAGATAGTTATGCTGCTTTCTTGAAAAGGGTAGAAAATGAGACAGCTGGAAGTGACGTAACCCAGATGGCAAGCATAAGTAAAGTACCAAACTAAACAGGCGATGTGGGCACAGTATCCAATAGTTCGCCTTTCTGTTTTGCATGTACAGAAGTGCTCGTTAATCATCTCCAATCCTTCTTTCTCTATGTTTAACAGAACAAACAGATCATATTTGACATGAGCAGAGTGGCGCAATCTCATCTGAGCCTTAAACAACTTCAACAATTCTTTGGGTGTTAAGATGCCTACTCTTTCGTAATCAAGATCCAAGTTGTAATAGGCCGCTTTCGCGAGTTCGGATATGCTCGGTCGGGATCAGGGCTCGTGAAAGGGTTGAGACACAACGATAGACGCGTGATGTAATGTGGTCTGTTTATTTGCCTCCTTCGGCAATGGTCAGTGTACAAGTGCTAACAGTCGGTTAAATCTCACGTAGCGGGCGCGCGTCGGATGACAAGGCGCGAGTTATTAATCGCGAGTTAATTAATGCGCGATAGTTATTCGGCACGTTATGTATCAATGTATGTGCGGGCGCGGATAATTCCGCGAGTGTTGTATATAAATCGTATCGTGATACGGTGCGATGGTTGCGTCGGCGTATGGCGAGTTGTTTGTTGTGACGGCGCGCGAGACGTGCAAGAAACAGGGCGGCGGCTAGTCGGCATGTGTACGGTAAGGCCGTGTTTATTTTGACGCGATAGGTATTTCGGCGCGGCGATTAATTCAGGCGGACGGCAAAGCCGTGTTTTACTGATGCGTCGGTGTTAGATGCGTTTAGTCGCGTATTTCCAGATGTTCGGGGAGGCGGTCGGAAATCGGGTAATCCCGATCGGGCAGAGAATCTCCGTTCCTATTCCGCACGCGGACTTAAGGATAGCCGGTCGGAGTCGAGAAAGCTCGACGGGGCCGCGAACTCGCAAACCCACGGTCCGTCTGGCTGGAGCAGTCGGATGTTAGACCAGAGATCTCAGAGAGCGGCGAACACTCCGCTCTCGTCGAATCGGTCGAAAGGTTGGCAAGGATTCGTAGGCGGCGCGGAAACCAAGAATGCTCGGCAGAGGCTGCAAATCAACCCCACGTTCCGTCATTTCTGCGAAGTGTAAAGGATCGGATATGTCGGAGTATCTCGAGCGTACTGCTCGAGAGGCTTCAGGTATTGGTCTGGTCTCGAGTCTCGAGATGTATTTCGGCGGCCTTTTTATACCGAGCGTATAACAGGAACTGCGTCGTTTCCCTATGGTGCGGATAACAACGCGTTAGTTCCGGCGGCGGTAATTAACGGTTAACGCGCCGTTACCCTCCGGCGGGAAAACGACGCGGCGTTTCGGCGGTTGAGCGCTCGGTATTTTCCGGAAGCGCTCGGCGGTTCTCGGTATTGATACGGGCTATAACGGCAGCCGTATAACGGTTGTACGGTGATCTTAAAGACATCTCGTAATGAGTATTAAAAAGGGCGCTAAGCACCTCTGCCCCTGCCCGGCTGGTGTTCGCCGGACGGCAGATTTCCGGCTGGTCAACTGCCGGGTAACGATGGGGGGTGCATTGTTACAAAGTTATCTTTTTTGTCATATTTTATAAAAATATATTAGTTTTCAAATCTCCGAGGGAATTGCTGCTCCGAGTCCATTTGGAAACGTTCCAAACGAATGCCAATGAAAATTCTTTTTTCAACACAGTTCTAAAGCCAAAATGAATCATCCTGCCAAGTTTCATCAACCAATGTTGTGTTTAACACTTTTGTCTACTTTAGGCATACTCCAAAAGAGTTATAAAAAAGTTTTTTATATTTTTTATGGAAGAATATGCATTTCATATTTGATTGGATTTCAGCGATAATATATTTAATGTATATTACACTTACAATTATACACGCACATACGTGCATGCACATGTATGCACAGGAAAACGCATACAAGGCACACACACACACACAATACTCGCATGTATATACATACATAAATATATTCAAGATGTCCTAAACGGAACAAAATTGATATCACCGTATTTTTCATTGAAAAATAAATATCCAGATAGCTAAGTCTGTCGAGGATGGATCTTACCAAACATTTGCTACAACGTTTGTCAGCAAAAAGATTAGAAGTTTGGTACAGAAGATGTTACTACCGATTAAGTTAGCAGAAACCGAGTAGAAACTGTAGCTCTTAGCCATTTAAATAGAATATTGTAACGTATGACGTCAGGTTATGTTAGCAAATCCTGCTCAGTTTCTGCCGCTAATTTGCTATCAGATTATGTGAGCAAGCAGGCTCTGCCGACAGAGCACAAACTTAATGCGGATGCAGTTAATGCTAATGTACTAACAACTTCTGAGTAAATCAGTTACCAATTTGATGGTAAATTGCGCGCATTTTGCTCATTGGGCATATTTTTTCTTTAGTAAAATTTCCGAAAATGTATCGTTTCCGAAATGTTGGATTTATAATGAACAAAATTGGATCAATACATATGTTGTGTCCCTAGCCACTAAGGAAGAGGATTTTCGGGATCTGTGCGTCCAAAGGATTAGGATCCACGATTTGAGTAAAATACTCCCGGACTTTTAGTAGAAAATGAATATATTTGTCGTCACTTTGCACACTTGTCACGATTCACGGTTAGAGATCGGGTCTAATACGTGTAATAATTTAATAATGCGTGATAATACTAGACAGCAGCAAGCCTCGATGCATCTCGCGCTCGGCTTATATATTAATAATTAGATTGGGAGGAGTTCGGTGACCCTGACCGAAGCACGTATCGTGCTTCGCTTCTTTAATCTGTCTCTTCAGCTGCTTACTCAGCTTTCAAGAATTTGACCGTGACTTCTTTTGCCTTCGTCACGTTTTGCTTTATTTTGTTAATATTCTTTTGGTTATTTATTCTTTCTCAATCTAATTTTCCATGTGCTATATTTCTTATTTTACTTTTATGACTTCCTTCATTTTTTCTGTTCTATTTTCTATTATTTTAACATTAAGAAATTGGTCGGATTATGACGCATATAATAATAGAAATTTTTTATTAAGAGATTTTAATGGCTCTGAAAAGAACGGATTTACAAGTTTGCAATCAATTTAATTCATAAATGTTTGAAATTATGCCCGTCAACCACAATTTCAATTAGACTTTGCAGAAAAATTTTTTTCATACTCAATCAAAATAAATTGGCGGAATTCTTGCTATTGCTGTGTAATCTTGTAGCTATCTTGTATACGGAGAATACTAACTCTAAAAAAACTGATAGTGTGCAAATAACTCCATAACAGAAATCAAGAAACGTATTAATGTCTCGATGCTAATATAAATGTAAAAGTAACGATAAATCGACTGTGATTAAGGGGATCATGGACTACCGACCGAACGCAATTTTTTGAATTTACCAGTTTTTGTAATAGCTATACAGAATAAAAAATTTTAACTTTTTTTCGTTTTTAGCATAAAGTCGAATGTCCCATAGAGCATTGATGTATGTACTTTAATTGTGTAAAAGCATTTGTAATTCTGTATAGCTATTACAAAAACTGGTAAATTCAAAAAATTGCGTTCGGTCGGTAGTCTAGGATCCCCTTAACCCAGATAGCCAAGTCTGCTCGAACAGATTTTGCCAAACGTCTGCTATAAATTTTTGTCAAGAGAAAGATTTCAGATTGTATATAAAGTCTGTTATATCAGATAATGATAGCAGAATGTCAGCAGAAATGTTATAAAATCTGCTGACATAATTTGACAGCAGATCAGTAGCACAAACCAAGCAGGATTTGCATAGAATTATTATAGCAGATTGCCAGCAAAAACCGAGCAGAATCTGCAAATTGATGTCAAATTGGTAGCAGAAATCGAGCAGATTCAAATTTTCCTATATATATTACATTAATATATATTATTAATATTATATATTTATATGTTATTAATACAAACGTCAGAAAATGACGTGCCGTCAATGTGACATATCGATTATTGACGTCATTTTTTAATCTTATGACCTAACTTTAGAACGTTTAATTGGTCATTTTGTGATCAAAATTTACCATCATTTTGCTATTTGAAATTGAGACCCTTTAAATGTTTAAATCCATTTACGGTAAATTGGCAGTAGAAATCAAACAGAATCTGCAGCTTTTAGCATTCATATAATTTATTGAAATAGTATAATTTATTCGCTTATAGCTATGCGGCGCACTATTCACTTTTTATATCCGTATTCAAGTACTTGTCACGAGCGTATATAATGCCTGCAAAATGCGGCTAATAACATCGTAATTATTTCTATCAGTTTAATTTCTGATACGACTCCCGTATCGGGGAATTCAGATATTGAATTGATTTTTGGAAAATTAGACAGATAAATGTCTGATTTTCACTTATTCGGAAAGAAATTGTCCGAATAAGTGATTTGGTATAGGATTCTGATTAAATTTGCTGCCAATCTGCGCGCATACTGCTAACATTTTGC